AATAAAATCAAAAGGCCAAGTCGAGTGTGTCACTCTATCCTTAAGACAGATTTGCCCCGCTACGGTGCTTACGGTTGAGTGGCGTCTATCTCCCAGGATACAATGATCTTAACCAATTTGTAGTAGCACTCCAAAACAAATTGTTTGGCGAACCAAACCTGCGTTCTATACTCTCTTTAATTTATTCTAAATCTAATATGAAGAGTATATGCACTAGATGAGAATTGGATAGCAATGAGACAAAAATTTCAGACTGAATTTTCGGGCTATCGACTGCTGGAATTTATGGCTGTATTTATAGGCACAAAATGCTAACCAAAAATCTGTTTGAACAGATGTAACCATTGTCGAACAGATGCAACCTATTTTTGAACTCAAATAGGTTCTGACCATTAGAACTTTGAATACTTATATTCAAACAATTTTGAAAAGTTGTCCGTTGGTGGACAAATATAAAAAACTGTTGGAATATATTTTTTTATTTAAACTATTTGAATAGTTTAATAAAGCCGTTAGTGGAATAGTGTTTCAAACTATTTGGACTATATATATATTAAACTAATTGAATATATATATATATATTAAACTATTTGAATAGTTTAATAAATAAAGGAAGAGGTACAAAACTTTAGGAAACCACTTAGGAACCCAAAATTTGAATTTAGAATTAAATTAAATTCCCACAATAATTTTTATTGAAAAAATTCAAATGAATTTTATTTAAAAAATTAATGTTAGACCCGAAAATGACGTCAACTTCCCATTCACTCATAAATGGTTTTGACGTTCCGTCTTCACTGTGTGACTTGCCACGCGGTAAGGAACATTTCACCTCTTCGAACCCACCCCAAAAGACGTTTGGGGCCCACTCAAATTTTGGCTAAAAAGTATGCCTATATTAAACCATATTTTCCAACAATCCCCCATATGAATGGAATTTGACGGAGAGAAAATGCACCAACATGATCTAAATACAGAGAGTACAGAAATTGAAAATATTCTGCAAAGGATAGGTAGCTTTTGGCTTTGAACCTTCCCTTGTGAGACACTATCGGATTTACTAGCTAACCAGTGAACATGATGTCTTGAACTGTTCATCCGTTTGTGTAAACCAAGACAATAGAACTCACACAGTATATCCCTAGACACAGTTTAGTTCTCACTATTGTGTTCATTTTGGCCCTGAACAACCTGGTCTTTCATGAGTGCTCTAGAGAATTGTAGCCCTTCACAAATCTCACAGAACCGGCCCAGTTCACACTCACATAGGTGATGCTTATGAAGAGTATCCTGCCATACTCCACTAGGTTTACCTAGATATAAGAATCATTAAAATTTTACTTAACCTCAAACCCTGCAGTCAATCACTATTTTATCAAAGAAATGGGTAGGAGTTAGACTCCCTAGTGATCCTTCTGAGTCATTCACAACTCGGTTGTCCCTTTGAACCTAGATCTTGGGACCTCCAGTCAACTAGGTTGGGTTGCCGTTGTGGTAACTCTTATTTAATAGGCTTTAGTCCCATTCCCCTCGATGAATTCTCAACTAGCTCTTTTGCTAACCCTTTGGTCAGTGGATCCGCTATGTTGTCTTTAGACTTCACATATTCAATGGAAATAATTCCATTAGAGAGTAGTTGTCTTACGGTATTATGTCGATGACGAATGTGTCTAGACTTACCATTATATATATGACTCTGTGCTCTATCTATTGCTGATTGACTATCGCAATGTATGCATATAGCAGGCACCGGTTTTGGCCATATTGGAATATCTTCAAGGAAGTTGCGAAGCCATTCTGTTTCTTCCCTTGCTTTGTCTAAAGCTATGAATTCTGATTCCATAGTAGACCTAGCAATATAGGTCTGTTTGGAAGATTTCCAAGATACAGCCGCACCACCAAGAGTAAAGACATATCCACTGGTGGACTTCGAGTCTCTAGTATCCGATATCCAATTTGCATCACAGTATCCTTCAAGTACTGCTGGATATCTAGTATAATTAAGCCCAATGTTACGAGTAAATCGGAGATATCTTAGAACCCTTATAATTGCTTTCCAGTGTTCTACTCCCGGATTACTCGTATATCTACTTAATTTACTTACTGCATAAGCTATATCTGGGCGAGTGCAGTTCATCAAGTACAATAAGCTTCCAATAATTTGGGCATACTCTAATTGAGAAATACTATCCTGTACATTCTTAGAAAGATACAAATTAACATCTACAGGAGTTCTAGCAAGATGATCATCATCTTTGCTGAATTTGTCAAGTATTTTCTCAATGTAATGAGATTGTGACAAAACATATCCTTCTGATGTTTTGGTAATTTTCATACCAAGAACATTCTGCCTCTTCCCCTGCTTTGTCTAAAGCTATGAATTATGATTCCATAGTAGACCTAGCAATACAGGTCTGTTTGGAAGATTTCCAAGATACAGCCGCACCACCAAGAGTAAAGACATACCCACTGGTGGACTTCGAGTCTCTAATATCCGATATCCAATTTGCATCACAGTATCCTTCAAGTATTGCTGGATATCTAGTAAAATTCAGCTCAATGTTACGAGTAAATCGAAGATATTTTAGAACTCTTATAATTGCTTTCTTCTACTCCCGGGTTACTCGTATATCTACTTAATTTACTTGCTGCATAAGCTATATCTGGGTGAGTGCAGTTCATCAAGTACATTAAGCTTTCAATAATTTGGGCATACTGTAATTGAGAAATACTTTCCTGTAAATTCTTAGATAGAAACAAATTAACATCTACAGGTGTTCTAGCAAGATGATCATCATCTTTGCTGAATTTGTCAAGTATTTTCTCAATGTAATGAGATTGTGACAAAGCATAACCTTCTGATGTTTTAGTAATTTTCATACCAAGAATTGCATCAGCAATGCCCATGTCCTTCATATCAAACTTCATGTCAAAATGTTTATTCAACATTTTCTTGGTAGTTTTAATCATGTCATTATTACTATTTATGATGAGCATATCATCTACATAAAGGCATACAATGACATAACCTTTGTCTATGTTTCTAATATAAACACATTTGTCACACTCATTAGTTTTAAATCCATTTGACATCATTGCCTTGTCAAATTTCTCATGCCATTGCTTTGGTGCTTGTTTTAAACTATATAATGATTTAACCAATTTACATACTTTCTTTTTTTTTCCTGGAACAGAAAAACCTTATGGTTGTTCCATGTAAATTTCTTCATTTAACTCACCATTTAAGAAAGCAGTTTTTACATCCATTTGATGAATTTCTAAATTGTATAAAGATGCAATGGCAATTAACATTCTAATGGATGTTATTCTAGTAACCGGTGAGTAAGTGTCAAAGTAATCAAGACCTTCTTTTTGTCTAAAACCTTTGACCACAAGTCTTGCCTTGTATTTGTCAATTGATCCATCTGTTTTCAATTTTCTTTTGAAAATCAACTTGTACCCAAGAGGTTTACAACCTGGTGGCAAATCCACCAATTCCCAAGTGTGATTTTGCAAGATGGATTCAACTTCACTATTGATAGCTTCTTTCCATAAAGGAGCTTCAGGACTGGACATAGCCTTTTTAAAAGTTAAAGGCTCATTTTCTAACAAATATGTTAGAAAATCTAGACCAAAAGATTTTGAGGTTCTAGCACGCTTACTATGCCTAGGTTTCTCTTCCTCATTTTGATCTAACTCTTGTTCTTGATCATGTTGTTGATCCTGATTAGTAATAGCATCATGAGATCTTTTATGGTTACTAATCTCTTGTCCAGTCTTATTTGGAAATACATGTTCAAAGAAAGATACATTCCGAGATTCAATAATAGTATTTACATGCATTTCAGAATGTTCTGATTTTTTAATCAAAAACCGATATGCACTACTATTCTTGGCATAACCAATGAAAATGCAATCAATGGTCTTAGGACCTATCTTAGTCTTTTTAGGACTAGGAGTAGCCACTTTAGCCAAACACCCCCACACTTTTAAGTATTTGTAGGATGGTACTCTTCCATGTCACAATTCATAAGGTGTTTGATTCACTTTCTTTCGGGGTACTTTATTAAGTATATAATTAGCAGAAAGTATTGCTTCCCCTCACAAGTTCTGAGGTAATCCAGAACTTATTAACATGGCATTCATCATTTCTTTTAAAGTCCTATTTTTTCTTTCAGTAATTTCATTTTGCTGAAGTGAGTAAGGAGCGGTGGTTTGATGAATTATTCCATGTTCTTTACAAAATTCACCAAAAGGTGATTTATTCACCACCTCTATCACTTCTTAGTTTTTCGATTTTCTTGCCAAGTTGATTTTCAACTTCATTCCTATATTGAATGAAAGTTTCCAAAGCTTCATCCTTGGTTCGAATTAAATAAACATAACTATATCTAGTATAGTCATCTATAAAAGTGATAAAATACTTTTTCCCACCTCTAGTTTGAATTGATTTAAAATCACAAATGTCACTATGAATTAATTCAAGTGGTTCCGTACTTCTTTCAATTGAATGAAAAGGAGTTTAGATAATTTTGCCTCAACCAAAATTTCACATTTATGATTTGAATCAACGTTAAATTTAGGTAAACATTCCATATGAAAGCCTTGGAGGCACAAATATGGAAATAATAGAGTAATCAATACACAATAATCAAAGATATTATTCACACTCCCCCTCAAGCTGGTGCCAATGTTTTGAAAACTAGGCCTGTGAGTGGACCGGTGAGCGAACCGGAAACATGACCGGGCGGACGGGTTACTGGTTCAACTGCGGGTGAACCGGAATTGAACCGTGATGTCATAATTATATCATAAATATATTAAAATTTATAAGTATAAAAAATATAGATATTAAAATTACAAAATGATAAATAATAAACAATTACAAAAAATATATATTTCTTAAAATTTATTTTACTTTTTTTATACATTGATTTTTAGTAAAAATAATTAAGATAATATTGAATATATAGTATATATACTTGTTACATTGTCAACAATTGTGTTGATGGCATAGTGGTTTGAGTGCTTGCTTTTATACATTTGGTTCTATGTTCAAGCCCTTTCCACAACATATTTTTGGAAGAAACTTCAATTCTTTAAATCCAGCCGGTTCTTATATCGAACTGGTAACTTCAATTCTTTAAATCCAGCCGGTTCTTATATCAACCCGTGACCAGTTCGCCAGTTATTCCAATTGAGCCGGTAGTTCTCCGGTTTTCAAATTCTAAGCCGGTTTTGAACATAGTCCGGGTTTCGAGGGTCATCCTGACCAAAACTAGGTCCGGTCACCAGTGATCAGCCGGTCTGGTCCGGGTTTTCAAACATTGAGTACAATGACCATAATCACAGATGACAAAGATATAATAACTTACGTCAGTGAATTGTAAGTCTCGTCCAAGTTTGACTCTGCTGGAGATATGTTCACAAACATCAATGTTTTAGCATTACCACCAAGTGAATCACTCATTAACATTGTCAACTTGTGATTCCTATAAGGTATGTGTTGATTGCCAGTCGATAAAGCACTGATAACATCCCCAAGTGCAGAAAGTGACTTATTGATACTTTGAGCTTCCTTGAGTTGACTACCGGAAGAACCTGATTTTTTCACTCTCTCAGAACCAGCAAGGTCCACAAAACTAAGCTGCACAATAAGAATGGTCAAACAAACAAGCACAACGATTATTTCAACCCACGTCATAACATACTTTTTAAACTCATGAAAGAAGAGAAAATATTGAATATATGTCCATGCACCTGTTCTCCAATTAAACTAGCACATATCTCAATTCAATGATTATAAGATAGTGTGAACAATAATGATACCTTTCCTCTAGCAATGGATTGAGTTTGAAGGTTGGTACTCTCAACAACAATGGAAAGTATTAGATGGGATCTTGAACTCTGTTCATTCATCGACGTCTCAGTTGTATGACGACGTTCAGATCCTCTCTGAATGATGAGGTTCAATTCTTCAACTGTTGTAATGGATTCAACCGTCACATTTTCTATAAATACCATGCCCTACACGTTCCAATATAGCTAATGAAGGGAAGAGTTTATAAAAGTGGAACACATTCCAAATTTAAATAAGGCAAGCAAATGAGATTAAACAAAATATCTAACAAGACAATCACCAATTGACAAATTAGTATAGTAACCTTTGAATCCTTTTTGATATCTAGTTTTAATCTCCTTGCAAACTTCGGTAGCAAAAGATCGACCAATGTATCTTGATATAATTCTACCATATATACCTGCATATGTTCATAATTGATGCGTAAAGCATTACAAAGTGCAGTTCAGTTGGAAACCTAAATAAATAAACCTTCATGCATCATCTGCCTTTAACTGGAATACCATACAAAGCAAATTTGCTTTTACTGGTAATCTAACAAATAGAACACCATGTTTGTCTACATACCATTCAGATTACATACAGAATGGCTAGCAGAAGATGCATCGAAATCTGATTAAAGTTATAATCTATAATCTGTTAAGCTATAATCTATAAGCTATTTTAACAGCTACACCAAACGGGGCCAATGGGGTCGTTGGAGGTGGCTGTTGAAATTGGTGACTTGTCTCTGTTGGAATAATTTTTTGTATATAATAAATAAATTGAAATAAATAAAACAAATAAAAATAAATAACTTACAGAATTTATTTTATCGAAATGTAAATGTACAAAAAGATCAAGTCGAGTGTGTGACACTCTGTCCTTAAGACAGATTCGCCCCGCTACGGTGCTTACGGTTGAGTGGCATCTATCTCCCAAGATACAATGATCTTAACCAATTTGTAGTAGCACTCCAAAACAAATTGTTCGGCAAACCAAACCTGTGTTCTATACTATCTTTAATTTATTCTAAATCTAATATGAAGAATATATGCACTAGATGAGAATTGGACAGCAATGAGACAAAAATTTCAGACTGAATTTTCAAGCTATCGACTGCTGGAATTTATGGCTGTATTTATAGGCACAAAATGCTAACCAAAAATTTGTTTGAACAGATGTAAACACTGCCGAATAGATGCAACCTGTTTTTGAACTCAAATAAGTTCTGACCGTTAGCACTTTGAATACTTATAGTCAAACAATTTTGAAAAGTTATTCGTTGGTGGACAAACATAAAAAACTATTGGAATATATTTTTTTATTTAAACTATTTAAATAGTTTAATAAAGCCGTTAGTGGAATAGTGTTTCAAACTATTTGGACTATATATATATTAAACTAATTGAATATATATATATATATATTAAACTATTTGAATAGTTTAATAAATAAAGAAAGAGGTACAAAAACTTTAAGAAACCACTTAGGAACCAAAAATTTGAATTTAGAATTAAATAAATTTCCACAATAATTTTTATTGAAAAAATTCAAATGAATTTTATCTAAAAAATTAATGTTAGACCCGAAAACGACGTCAACTTCCCATTCACTCATAAATGGTTTTGACGTTCCGTCTTCACCGTGTGACTTGCCACGCGGTAAGGAACATTTCACCTCTTCGGACCCACCCCAAAAGACGTTTGGAGCCCACTTAAATTTGGGCTAAAAAATATGCCTATATTAAACCATTTTTTCCAACAATCGCATGCAGTATGGTAGGAAAATTTTAATATATACATTTTTTGAAAGGAGTATATCATATGCATTTTTAATTATACCATTTTTTTTTTAGTTGTGACTAATTTTCTTTCTTAGTTATGACTCATGAGATTTTTAGTTATGTCGCATATTGTGTTTGATTATGATATTTTTTTCTTTAATTTTAGTTATAACTCAAAAATTATAAAATTATATAATTTTTTTTATTTAGTTATGAGGATACATATAATATACGCCTTTTGAAAAGTTTGTATCATAATATTTCTTAACACGGTATCATTAATTAATAGTAAATTTATATAGAAAGAGTTAACTCTACTAATGATCTTCCCATTCGGTTTTGGGTTCGGTGCAGGTGCTGTGACAGTACCGTGCTGTGACGGCAAACAGTGCTGTTTGCATACTTTTTTTTTTCTTCTTTAGCTTGTGCAATTTGTTGTCCTTTTTTTTACCATTTATTTTATTGTCATTTTTTTTAATAAATTACAAATACACTTCATGTTTTTTGCTTAAAATATGTATTATTCTCAGTAGTTTTGAAAATTATAAATACTCTATTATTATAATTTTTTATTTAGCATAATTAATAAAAAAATTCATAACTAATATATAATAATAAAATTATCATAATCATTAATTGTTTATTCGTATGTGGGTTTTTTTATTATTATTTTTTGTTTACCATATATAATGCAAATGTAATGATAATTATATGTTGTCAAAATTTTGGAAACGACAAATATATATAATTTTTTATTTAACACAATTAATAGAAAAAATAAAATTCACAAGTATTCTCCTATATAATAATTATCATAATCATTATGACTTTATATATACATATATATATGTGCATTTTTTAAATTTTTTTTTAATAATATGTAGTGCAAACGTAATGATATTTATTTATAATTATTTAAGACACTGAGATATTTTATCGGCCACAAGTGATTAATTACAGGTACGATATATTTGCGGATAACATTAACTATTCACCCTTGCAATCACAATAAGCGCTTTTGTCTTCTCAAACATCAGTCCACCAATTTCACAACTGCTTAATATACTTAAATTTAAAATAATAAAAAAAAGTTAATAAATTTTTGTAATGCCTTTTTCTATATTTTTTTGTTAGGAAATTTGAATTGATCCAATACTCCACACCATAATCCCATGTAGCCTTTTTGCCTGTTTGGCGTAGCTTAAAGGCTTCTTATTTCAGCTTTTAACTTAATTTAAGTTAAAATATTGTGTTTGGTACAGCTTAACTAATCACATTATAACTTAATTTAAGCCATTTTCAGCTTAAATTTCTAAGCAGCTCGAGGGTGCTTTTGCAAAACAGCTTATGCACATAGTCAGTAGAGGGCATAAATGACTTAAATGCCCCTCCAAAACTTAAAAAATTACGAAAATGCCATTATATAAACCCTCTTTTCTCTTGACCTAACACTTTCCTCTCCTCTTCTCCTCTCCTCTTTAGTGATCGACGAAGAACTCCTCCATATCTCCAAGATCGTAGCCAATCATTCAGTTTGGTCCCCTGTTTTCTGTTGATCTCTACCAAAAAGGTAAGATTTCGTGCCCTTTGTTTGTTATATATATATGCACATCGATTTAGGGTTTTTGTTTTTGGTTGCTCTGTGAAATGGTGTGTGAGCTGTTACTGAGTTCTCTCTTCTCTCTCTCTGTCTCTCTCTCTTTCATTTCTCTCTCTGATTATTATGAAATGGTGCATTCGATTACTGTGAAATGGTGTGACACTCTACCAAACAAGGCTTGCAAAGGCTCTCCGTTACGTTTTATTACCTTATCTTCCTAGTCTTACCCACCCCCCAAATACCCCTCCATATTTTGCAAGAATTTAAATAAAACAAAACAATACAAGAAAAAAAATTCTAGGGTTTCTACTTTCCCTTCTCGAAAACCCTATTCTTCTCCAGGAATTCAGGTTTCTTTTCTTTTTTTTCTTTGGCATTTCTTCTTCTCTCTCTTTCGATTTGTTTATTTTCTGTTTGGTTATCGAGAATTTGAAGGAAATCTTGAGAATTTTGGACTTCAATTGTCTTAATTTTTTCAGGAACTAAGTGGGTAGTTCAATGTTTTGTTTTTGATTGTTCTGATGAGAAGTTAATTAGTAGAAAGTTTGCTTCTTTAATTTCATTTGTTTGAGTCAAGTTGGGGTTCTTTGTTTTTGGGCGCCAACCAAATGGTTAAAAATTATGGGTGTGCTAAATATTATTGTGATAATTGGGTTTATTTTTGTTTGACTTTCTTTGCAACTAAACTGGTTGTTATGGTTATCTTGTTGGGAATTTAAGACCAAGTGCTTCGCATATGGAGCTATCTTTGCATCTGATGAGTGGTGGACCAAAAAATTGAAGATAAGTGAATTGCTTAATGTACATATTCTATTATTTATTTATTTTTTTTTTAAGAAAATCAAATTTTAAATATGCCAAATTGTTAAATTTTCCTTTGTAATTGTTGCAGAGGTATCCTGCTGCTGCTAAATTTCGGTGTCTACCATTGTAATTCACTGAAGACTTAGACATACTATTCTTAGATGCAGCTGCTATAGGAGAATGGGCATACACCCCTAGCTCAGGGGTTATGCCTTACACTGATGAGACTTCGGAGGAATTCCATACCCCACATGATGCCGAATTTCATGATGATGCTGATTTGGAGGTGGTTCATCCTTTTGATTTAAATAAAAAAAGGTCCATCAAACACTAATGGTTCATCAAACAAGGGCAAGGCAAAGAACAAAGTTTTTAGTGCAGCTCTACTTAACAAGACACTTGATCATATAGTCAATGTGGTTAAGTCATCTTCAACAACTTCAACACAAACCTTATCAAGATATCCTTCAATTGCAGAATGTTTGGTGGAGTTGGAAAGCATCCTTGGTGTGTCCCCAGATCATAAGTTGTATGTATGGGCTGCCAGATTATTCTTAAGAGACAAGCATCGTGAGTGCTTTATGACACTTCTTACGAATGAAGTTCGGCTGAGGTTTCTAAAGTTGGAGATTGAGATGGAGAAGATCAGCACAGGTTATTGCGGCTAATTATTTCTAGATGCATGGCAGTCTTATTATTTATACTGAATTTTATTATTATTTCATGTTTAAGACTTTTATTAGGATTTTTATTATTAATGGTGGACTGTTGTGTTGGACTCATTATTTGGACTTTTATTAATATTATGTATGAGTATGTTGGACTTTTATTATGTTGGACTTATTATTTGGAATTTTATTAATATTATGTATGAGTATGTTGGACTTTTATTATGTTAGATTTTGTTAGTTGAATGCTTGAGGAGTTAGTAGGTGGCATTCCTTTTCATTAGTCAGATTTCATTGTTACTATTCTCAAATGCAATTGTTATTAGGTGGCTATCATTTGAATGGTAGGTGACATTTATTTGAATCTTGAAGATGAATGGTGTGTGGCTTTAAGTATATATGTGTGTGTGTGTGTGTGTAGATGTGTTGGCCTCAGGTATCCTTCAATTTCTATGTTTCATCTCTCTTCAAGCAGGTCTTTTGCTGAGACAATAGTTGTGTTTTCAATAATTTTGGCCCCCAGGTATTTTGGTAAACAAATCTTATTGTGTTTTCAATAATTAGTTGTGTTTTTAATAAATATTATTGTGTGTTCATTTCATTATTGTACTAGTAAATAAGAACCCTTTAAATGAGTAGGTGTTTTGGAGATGAGTAACAGTG